GGGCCCAGAGTAGAAAGCAAGGTCCCCACCATCAAAGGAGCAGGGGCAAGCTGGCTGTGGGCAGGAAGGGGGTAAGTTGAGGCACAGCCACCCTGCTGGGCTGGGTGCCTCTTTCTCTGGTCCCACCTAGGGATGCAGTCACTTCCCAGCAGAGCTCCGTTCCCTCCCACCGGCTCAAGTAATCGCCAAATAAGAGTAAAGTCTCAACCAGGGAGAGCAAACGGGGCGGGAACTTGGGTGAAGCCTTTGGGGCCAGGGACAGGCCACCAGCTGGGGATTCAGGGGGCTGGAGGGAGCTGCTCTGGCTAAACCTGCTGTCCTAGCTGCACGATATGCAGCAGCCCCTGCCAGCATCCTGCCATGGGCCTCACAGGCTATTCCTCCTGGGGACAAGGAGGCAGTGGAGCCACGGTGGCCTCACAGAGCTACTGGGAAGGGGCTGCCAGCACCATAGAGCTGCCAATTCAGAGACAGGTGCTCTCCAGTTTGTGCCACCATCTGACTCCCCTCCAAGTGCCTGGGAAGGTTGCATTTGCACCCCTTAGCACAGTCCCTGTGGGCTTCCTGCACTGCCATCCCATTCTGGAGGCAGGGCAGTGATGGAGCAGGGGGAGATTTATTCTTTTAAGGCATTCATTGACATTTTTGCCAAGACCAGGAGCCTGCCTGGATCATTGTGATGGGCCCTGACCTGACCAAGAGATAGGGATGCTCTGTGCTCACAGGCACACACTGTCCTGGCAGCCAAGGGGAGCACGATGGTCCCCAAGGAGGTAGGTGGGTGGGCTCTGGGGGTCTACCCTGCACTTTCTTTGCAAGAACTGGGAGCAACACTGTGGCTTGTCCTGAGGAGGAGGAAACACCAGCCCTGGCCCTTTGCTGTGGCTTGTCCTGGGGAGGAGGAAACGCCAGCCCTGGCACTTTGCTGTCAGCACATTCAGGTCCCTGGCATGGAGACCTGGTAACTTCCAGTGCCCTGCACATGGCACAGCCTGTCCAGGTTTCAGCATGGCCTCAGGGCAGCTGTGCTAGTAATGGGCTCCCAGCCCTGCCTGTAACACCCATCTGCAGCCAGCCTGCCCTCCCTGACACTGAAGGAGTGCTCCTTTTCCCCATTCAGCCCTTTCCTGAACGGGTTGGTGGCTCATGTTCTTCATATCTGTTGGGACAGGACTCTCCTTGCCAAAGCCCACAGACTTGCCAAGCCACTGTGGACCAAGAGTGCAGTAACTTCACCCTCCCTGCCCAAAATGGCATTGCACAGCCTGTTGTCATCAGCAAACTGCTCTGCACCTTGTGGTCAACGTCTGCCCTGTACCACCATTTGCACTTTCCTCTGAGTCCCTCACATTAGCCAGATCTTGTACTGAGATTGCCCTGTCCCATATCAGCATGGATCCAGTCAGACCAGTACCAATCCCTGCTACACACAACAACCACCCTATCTAGCTTTACATGTCTGCCCCACGCCAAGATAAATGGTGCCCTTCCAAAGGATCTTTAATGTTTTAATTACTTTGGTTTAGCATCTAACTAAACTGGGGCAGGTCTGTAGGGTCAGCAAATAATGCTGGGGAATCCCTCAGGTGCTCCCTGGGGGCTCTGGGCCACCCAGGGGACATGTGCTGCTACTGCTGATCCTTGTCTGCTCACCCCTATCCTTGGCAACCACCTCAGAGATTTGACACATCTCCCCCATTTAGCTCCATAAACTATCTGGGACTGAAATTTTTGTTCTCAATCAATCCTAAAAAGCCTGGCCATGCACTGCTGGTCACAGTCCAGCCATCTCCCCTTCTCCTTCAGCTTCCAGAGTTGGTTTTCATCAAAGGGCTGGTTATCAAAAGGAGGATTTATTTGTAGGGTGTCAAATACCCTGTGTGGCACCACAGGTCGTTATACCCCATTCCTGAGTGGCCCCATGGCTGCACAAAGCTCTTCCACCCTTCATCCTGGTCAGGCACAAGCCAATTTCAATACTCTTCTAATATCTCCCAGACAGGATCCATTTCCCAGGAGAAACATCAGTCACAGCACTAAATAAAACTCTTCCTGGCCTTGCCCTTGCCAGGGTACAGGGTGGCACGTTGGACCCCAAAATGACCAAACCCACCCCCCGAGACCCCAAACATCTTTCCTCACAGCCAGCTCTTGGCAGTTGGCCACAGGCAAGAACTTTTTTCATTTTTCTGCTCTTTTTTTGCTTTCCTGCCAGTTTATCAAGCACCACAAACTGTTTTCTGTCATCATTGCAGAGACGTGTGCTTGGGGACCCGTGACACAGCTTGGGACACTCATCTCTGTTAGCTTTGGGGAGCCAGGCAGGCAGCTGCCCAAAAAGCTCCAGAGCTGACTGAGCAGTATCTGTCACAACCTGCCCTACCCCCGCACCCTGAGAAGGATCTGGCCAGTCCCTGCCCTGAATCTCAGCTGGGTTCAGTGTCAGCATCCCAGGAATGGGATGCTGACAGTCTTCCCCAGACACCTTCCATATAAGGCCCTCCTCTTTCTTCACATCCCCCCTCCCCCTCCCACATCTGGCACCGGTACAGGGGAGGAGTTGCTGGCATGCCTACATACGTCTGTAGCTTTCTTCTCCGCCTGCTCCAGCTTTTCCTGGACCTCCTTGACAGACTCGGAGTACTTCTCCACCTCATCCTCTGTGCCCTTCAGCTTCTTCTGCAGGCCCTGTTGTTCCTCCTCCAGCTTGAGAAGGAACAGAGGGTGAGGGTCAGGAGGCTGGTAGTTCCCACAAGGCTGGGGAGGGGATAGCCATCCTCCTCCTGAGGTGGCCAAGGTCGGGGGCATAGCAGGAGCATGCAGACATGCTCACTGTTGACTTTGGGGTCACACGTCCTCAGGAAGCCCTTGGTTCCCAGGGCCAGAGAAGCCTTCAGCATCCCTGAGCCTGGTGGGGGTAAGGGGGTGGTGAGCTCCCTCCCTGTGCAAGGGACTGAAAAGGTCCTGACTAGGGGGGACAGCTCCAGGGGCACCGAGAAGGTTCCCATCTCTGTGACTGGAGTGGGAGTACTCTGTCCCCAAGGATCTCCCTGGTAGAGGGATAGGGAGGTGGCACTGGGGTGTCCCACAGACAGGGCATGTTTGGGGGAAACTGATGTGAGTAGTCAGGGGTAACATGCTGGACTGCTGATCCCTGGGGATGGGCACCCAGCAGGGTAAGGTCCCCAGGTACAGGCATCCAGTGGGCTGAGATCACAAGAGATGGGCACCCTTAGAGTTGGGATCTGATGTCTGGACACCCAGTGAGGCAAGGTCCCCAAGGCAGAACACCCCTAGGACAGGAATCCCCAGGCTGGACACACAGCAGGTGCCAGTCCCCAGGGCTGGGCACCCCTAGGTGCAGGGTCCCCAGGCTAGACACCCAGCTAGACGGGGTCCCCGGGTCTGGACACCCTTAAAGGGGATCCCCGGGCAATGCTGGCAAAGCCCGTGGGACACCAACCTGCTTGCAGCGGTCTTCCGCCTGCTTCTTATCAGCCTCCGCTTGCTCTGCACGGTCGATGGCGTTCTCCTTGTCCAGTTTCAGCATCTGCATCTTTTTCTTGATGGCCTCCATGGGGACGGCGGGGCGGCGGCGGGATGAGGAACACCAGGGGAGGCGGGAGCACTGCGCCCGCAGCCCCGCCACTCCGCCTAAGAACCGGGGAGGGGCCGCGCCGGGCGGAGGACGCTCCAGCACCTCCCCCGCCGCCCGCCAGCACCTTTTAGGGACAAACTCGCCACTGACTTTCGCACCGAGCGGGATGGGAGGGTGACACCCTTGGTGGGCACCACTGCAGCCTCGGCGCCGGACACCCACGGGGGCACCGGGCGAGAGACACCCCAGGACACTATGTGAGGGACGCTCTGGGGCACTGCACTAGGGGTACCCTGGGAGCACTGGACCAGAGACACTGCAGAGCATTTCAATAGGGGCATTTCTGGTGGCACTGGACTAGGGGGACACTATTGCTTCTCATCATTGTGGGGGACATCCCGTGACTTTCCCTGCACTTGGGACATCCATGAACTGGCAGTGTGCTGTTACCATGCCCCAGGAATACCACCAGATATCCATCCCCAGGACCTGAGACCTGCTTCTGCTCCAACCAGATCTGTCCCTGTGCTAGAGGACACTGCATGGCTGGCACTGTCCTAGGTACACCCTGTCACTATATCCTGAGGCCTGGGACCCTGTTTCCTAGCACTGGTTTGAGGGCACCTCAGAGATTGGTACAGCAAATGGGGGGCCGCCACGGGCTGGCACTGCAGTCTTGCAGATACTCACAGGCTGATTTCTTTCAGGGATGCTGTGATTGCATTTGGGGAGACCATGGGCTGACACTGCACACATGGGGAAAATCCTCCAGGAGAGAAGTGACCTGAGCCCACAACCTCCCCATCCAACTCCTGTGTCATGGCAGGACAGGAGGGCCTTAGCTCTGCGTAGGCTCCTTGGCACTCATCTCTCCACTGCTTTGCACCCTGGTGTCACCATCTCTGGCACCCACAGGGACACCTGGCCCATGCACAACTCATAGGATGGCATTTCAGGGTGACACAGGGTGCATGAGCAACCAGCTGCCCTGCTCTGTCTTTCTGCTCTAAATAAAGTGTAGTCCACAGACAAAAAAAATGCAAACCTTTCAGATCCCAGCTCCTCCAAAAATAGCACACACTTTAATAACACATAAATGCTTCTGGTGTTTTTCTGGACCAAGGAGGGAGGTGGGAGTGGGGCTGGAAGAAGCTGGCAGAGGGGGCCAAAGGAGCAGTGGAGCATGTGGGGAGGCTGAGATGGGATGGGAACAGGAGGGGTGCATGGGCTTCCCCAGCCCATTGCCCTGGGACAGCATCCAGCCCTTGCCTGCTGCAACTTTTCTGCAATGGTGCTCCAAGCAGAGAGGAGCAAAAAGTTTTTGAGAGCTGGAAAAAGTGGCTTTCTAGGAGCTCTCAGTTTTGGGTTACAGGGGGCATAGGAGGGATGGGAGCAACTGAGGACTGAAAGGCTGCTGGCACCAAAGAGAAAGCAGCAAAAGAGCTACTGCTGGACTCTGGAGAGCAACTATTAATACTGATGAATTAGGCACATATTTGGACAAGTCAGTAACTGCCAGCACGTGGCTTCTGAGGGGAGGGGGAAGATGCATCTCCTGACGTTCCTGGGCGAAGATGGATGGCTTTCTGTGAGATGCTTCAGCGCAGAGCAACTTCACTGGCTCAGCACTCAGGAAAGATGATGATGTGCATAGTGTGAGCAGCTAGGAAAGGCAAGGCAGGGCTTCAGCCCTTGAATATCCCCCTTAAAGGAGCAATTCCCCCTTGCTGACCCCTCCCCTTTGCTCCAGGCATCAGGGGCACCTCCAACCAGCACAACTGGGGCCATCTGAGTGCTCAGGACCATGAGTCTTCCCTCAAAACCATCCTCTGGAGTGGCCTCCAGGACAAGGAAGTGCAGAGGGGTGTGGGTACAAGTCCCTACCATTGCTGACCCATGTCCAGCCCCACCCAAGGCTAAGGTCTCCAAGGATGGGGATTCCCCCTCCATGCCCCACTTCAGGGTCCAACCTTCCTTCCTGGGAAAAGGCTTGTCCCACCATCTAATAGGAAATTCCCAGGTGCAACCCATTCCTCTGTCTTGCCCCATCCCTGGACTCCCTGAGAAAATTGGCTGTGGCTTCCCTGCCTTCCTCCAGCTCAGCTAGATTTGGGTTCCCACAGAGGTGCTGGTATCTTGTTACTGCAGCATCCCAGCTCCAAGCCACATGTGCTTGTCCAAACTTGCCTGCCAAAATACCCCCTCATTCCAGCAGGGGAAATTTAGGGGGCTGGGGTGAATCGCACCCTATGTCCCTCCCTTGGTGTTTGTGTCAACATACCTTGTCCCTGGAGCACACAGCAGGGAGGTTGTACTTGTAGCCCTGTGCCAGGGGTGCCAGAACTCCCATGGTCCCGGTCTGACTGGATGATGCCAGGGTCACTGCCACACTGCACCCATTTGCCATCCTTGCTGGTTTCTCAAAGGGGCGCCTTGCCCAGCTGATACCTGGGTGAGAACCTGGTGCCAAGTCAGGTCAACATTGATTGTCAGGGGACAGTTGGGAGGATTGGGATGCCTGTGAGAGCCACAAATGCATCCTGGAGCCTGGTTAGGGGGAACAACCCCTCTGCACTCTCAGGGTTGTGCCTGCAGAGGGACAGGGGGTCACTGGCAGTGATACTGCCAGATGCCGCCTTTGCTGATCATGATGTAGATCATATTTTCGTGGATAGGTCCTAGAGACAGGGGACACCTGAAAGCCCGGTCATGTCCCTGCTCTATCCCACAGCATCCCTGCCTGCCCCACCACTTCTTGGGCACACCAAATTTGTGCTGAGTGACAGGATAGGAACAAGTAGGGACATGCTTGGGGCAGCTGCTGCCCATACAGCTTGGCCCCAGGGGGCTATTTTGGGGCATGAGCTCAGTGCCAACAGATGGGAGGTCTCCAGACACATTCCCAGACCTGTTGCACACCAAGCACTTCCACTTCCCCACCTGGTTGCTGGTGACCAGAGAGCCCCCCACCTGCACCCCTGTATCACCCTACCAGGGAAACTTTCATCTGGTGGCAGGAGTATGGCCAGGAGGCCACCTGGTCCTCCCCGAAGCCCAAATCCCTCAGCAACAAAATCTCCTGGGTCCCATTGTGCAGCACTAGCCCCCCAGAAGCACCTGTGAGGGTTGGCAAATGGCTAGCAGAGGGGGTCCAGCCAGATGGATGCCTGAGGCTGGACATGCCTTCATGCTGTATAAACACCCACACGGCATTCTATCCCCACCACCGAGAGGGCAGGTGCCCATGGGCCTCCCTGCCCCTTCTTTTTCCTAGGGAGTCTCATTGATATGCAGGTGGTAAGAAAGTAGGAAAACCAGATTTTATTGATGAACATGTCTTTCCAAGGAGACATTGATACCCCCCAGCACAGAGACTTGGGGAAGTTGATTTCCTCCAATGTTTAATAAGGGAAACTTAACAAATGAATGTTGAATGCTGTAGACATTATACTAGAGAAATGTAAAAGTTACAGAAATGCTGCAGATCTTGGAAAAACATGCAGACACTTAGGAAGGAGGAAGAGGGCAGAACTGGCTTGGGGCCATGAGGGGGGGGTAAAGGCCAGTGGGAAGGCAAAGAAAAGCTCCAGGGGCAAACCCATCACATTCCTCCAGCCCAAGTAGAGGTAGTGCAACTTTCAGCCCTCCCAGGAGGGTCCCAGGCTGAAGATGTTCAGGGGTGAGGAGGTTTGGTGCCTCCCAGGGTGTTAAATAGCTTGGACCCTATGTTCTGAGGCAGAGTCAGTTTATTTCAGCCTGAGCTGGGTGCCTCCAGAAAAGGACCTCGAACAAAGAAATCCTGGGGTCTTTATACCCCCACAGTCTGTGCACCCGATCTTCACACGCTCTTCACACACCCTGCATCGTCTTCTTGGTCCAATGGTGATTTATGGTCTGGGGTCTTCTAACACCTCATTGGATTCTTTCTCCATCCACATCGGCAGTCCATTAACTGCTCTTATCTTCCAGCTTGGGCCAGCCTTTGAACCCTCCAGGGTCTCAGCCCTTATCTGAAGGTATCCAGTCTTTCTCTGTTTCCTTTCCTGCTCAGCCATTCATGCTAAAAAACAGAGTTCATTTAGAGTTCACCTACACTAAGTTTTGAGCAGAACCCACTCATGCTAAGCTGTAAGCAAGTTACAATTAAACTTAAACCTACAAAATTAATTTCTAATATTTTAATCCCCAGCAGTCCCCCCTTTAGCTTTATTCAGCATACATGCTAATAATTTAGACAGAGTCCCTGGAATTTCTCAAAGTGACTATTAATTTTCAATATTTTCATATATAATATTAATGTGATATACATAACAAAATTAAACTCAACAAGACTATTGTTGGACATCGACAGACTATCATGGGATGGAACATGAAGTTAGATATTTCTGTGGCTGTCAGTGACCACCCACTAAAAATGTCCCACCATTGTTGTCCTGAATCTCTCTTCGCTCTCTCTAAAACCTACTGTAACTCTTTCACATTATGATGCACCATAATTAGGGATTTTTGTCCACTCTTGTGGGTTTTCTTCAGTAGTTGACTTAAGTCTTCATGTTGTAATAGCTTCTTTACCAGTGTAAGATTCATTCCAATGGGAGTGGGTAATAACCCCCTAACCAGGATGTAATTGGGTTGTAACAACTAGTAGGAGGTAATAGGAGCTGAATAATTAAAATAAAGTTACACACACAGATATTTGAGTGGTTATTTATATCTACAGTAATGCTATCTACAAATATAGAGTCACAGAGAGTTCTCATATAGAATCATAGAATCATAGAATTAACTGGGTGTCATAGTTCCGATTTTAGCAAGGAATTTTTCTTTCCCTTCCCCCTGCTGTGTGTGCCCTGTGTATAGGCCATCAGGTAGCTATCAGGTGAACAAAAGAATCAGGCCAGTCCACTAATGGCCGAGAAATCAGTCTCCTAGGAAACAGGCAGATGAAGGATCTAAAGTCTACTTTTTTCTCTTGTCTCCGGGGCAACGGGGGAGGAGGAATTTC